CTACGACTACGACTACGACGACAACGACGACGACGACGACGACTACTACTACTACTGCTAGTACTTCTAAGTTACTACTGCTACTACTTTACTGCTACTACTTCTTCTACTGCTGCTACTTCGACTACCAATACCAAGACCATTACCACTACCACTACCACTGCTACTGCTGCTGCCACAGTGTGCGGGCAAAGTAGAACCGCTAATTGTGTTGGTAATCTTTGTAATATTGCGGGGGGCAAGATAAACGGTATTCTTGCTCGGGGAGTATCCGCTAAGGGGGTGGGGGGCAAGACTATGCGTGATCTTGGTATTGGCCGTCTTGGTCATCTTGCTTGCGGGATTCTTTTATGTCTGTGGCAGCAGCAGCACCACGAGCAGCAGCAGCAGCACTACCACCAGCAGCGTCGCCGCCGCCACCACCACCACTGCCAGCAGCCGCACCTGCAGCACCACCACAATCTTCTTGCTGCCTTCTCAGCATCCTTCTATCTTCCAGCGGTTTCCGACCTCTGGCCCTCGCGCACAGAAGCACAATAGAACCGACACAACGTGTGAGATTTCATTCCATTCGTACCAGGCAAACTTGTGACATGGGTGCAAATAGTTGGCCCAAGCTTAGGTCGCCGTCGGCGCAGGCGCTTGTGCTCAACGAAGAGCGCGGAATTCAAGTATGGATCCGCTTGTTGAGAAGGTGTACATGCCACCTGCGTCACCTGGCAAAGTGTCCACGCGTGATCGCAGCGAAGCTTACTGGAGCCATGCCGGTCGCTTTGTCAGAAATCAGCGCCAAGTTTGGAACCGTTACAGCCAGGTTTTGCAGCATCCTACCCGGTGTGGATGCATCCTTGCATCCACCCTGGTGCTGCAAGTCAGAGGCGTAGAAAGTCGTTTGGCTCGGAACGGCTTGGCCGGTGCGTCGTGTCCGTGTTTCGACCCGTCGACCAGGCCAGCCTCGCAAGGCTCGCGGATTCGCTCGACCAGCGGAGGTTCGTTCCCTTTGGGTCCGTCGGACGGCTTCCAGGCGGCTGAGATGCCGTGGTTGCAGCTCATCCTCTAGCCATGTGCATGGAAGTGCAAGGAAGTGCAGCAGATAGTGGAGCCAGACACAGATCCAAACGGCCGGAGCCCAAGATGTGGCACAGGCACTTCTGCTGCCTCACGCTGTCTCGAGGAGAAAAGTCGGAAAAATTGGATCTCGGTCTGAGTTCTAGCACGTCCACTTTGGCAATTTCCAGATCCAGGCCGGCACCAAGTATCTGTTCCTGTCTGCAGATGCTGAAGCTCTGAGGCGGGCGTCTCCGAAGAAGACTCAGGGAGGACTATTCTTTGCAGGCACCTCCAGTTCCATTCGGCGGTAAAACGGCTTGCCGATGTCTGGCCGTGCACATTCTGCGGAGTGTATACTGTATACTTGTTCTTAATAACATGGACCAAGTTTCGTGCGAAGCTTTACCGAATCGATAAGTCATGTGGGTCATATGAGCGGTGCATTGGCAAGGTATCCTCTGTGATAGTCAACCACGGCCTGCAAAGGTATTCTAAAAGCGATTGCTTTATCAGCGCTTTCTCATGGCAAGGATTATCAAACGTCGCGAGCTTGTCAGTGCCTGACTTGCGGCAGGTCACCTCGAGAATGCCGAAACTGAAGAAGACCGCTTGTTCGGCACAAGCAATCGCGAGGAAGGGCAAAGCATTGAGTCGAGACGTGGGGCGAGTTGTGTTGTTCATTTGACGTCGGTTCATGGGACTTGTTGCTCAACCTTTCAACCTGTGCGGTTCCGTCCTTCCTTCCCTCCCTCTCTTCTTTCCTCTGTTCGTCAGGGTTATACAGAGGCACACACAAGCAAAATTGTACAGCCGAGACACGGCTCTGCACTTGCCGTGGCCTCACGCCGCTGCTGTCACGAGACGTGCACAAAGCAGTGTGAAAGCATCCAGGAAGAACTTTTCCAAGCCGTCGAAGAAGAAGCTGCTGCCTTGAAAGCAAATTGGGAGACAGGCTCCACGGGAATTGTGTTAAGTGGTCTGCTTTTGCAATCTCTTTCCAGGTCTGAAGCAGGACCCGCTCGCGCCTCTTTCTACTTGAAGCGACGGATCCGTGCAGGCAGCCTTGGCCTTCATCGCTCTGAGGCCGGAGATAATCGAGCGCTTGGGCGACCTCATGGGGCTCCTGGGGCCAAGGTGCAGACAGAGTGGGCAGTCGCAGTTTTCTTGGGAGGACAGGGACCGGAAGCTCTGCAGGTATCGCACTTTGTCGCGTGAAGCTGTCTGGGAAAAGGCTCTAGCTCGGGTCTTGGCGTAAGATTCGTAAGTTCGTTCGTGTTAATCAAGGTTTCGCTGCTTCTCAGGCTGGTGGCATGACGGCATTCGAAAGGCGTGAAAAGCGTCTCGGCAGTTGCAAGCTCAGACGTTCCCCAAGACTTTGAAAGGCCCCTAGCGAGAGCAAAACCTTGTGTTCCCAAGTTCCTGTACTTGCCTGAGTTTTTCGAGCGGGGCACTGCGTGATCTAGCCAACAGCAACGGCCAATCGCGGTGGTCATGTTTGCATGATTTGCATGCACAGCAAAGGAGGATGCAGCACTAGAATGAGAAAGAAACAGCCACCGAACACGGGACTGAGACTCAGTGGGGTCGGTGCTGAAGTTTGGGTTTTCACTGTAAGCTTTTGGTTGCTTTTCCAGCTCCTGTCGGCTTAATGCCCGGAAAAGTGTGGCCACGGCACAGAAGCCACAGGGGGACCGGCACAGCGGAGCACTGTATGGCCTTGGTGGGGATTTCGGACAGTGACCGAGCCGGGGCCTCTTCCACACATTTCCACACATACCAGCGACGTTTTCCACATGCTGATCTGAATCGACGAGCCTTTGTCGTAGCGGTCTGATTCGCAAGCAAGCAAGCGAGCAAGCAAACAAGCAGCGCCCAAACAGCCCCCAAGGTCACGACTCCAGGGAACACGGCGGAAGAGCTGAAGCACCTGCGACATAGTGCATTCCAGTCAGTAGTTCAAAGAAAGAGAACGAGGAAAGAGCACAAAGAGGGATTGAACCATGCGAAAAGCAGGTGAACTTCTGCCCAACAACACACCCCAGATTTATGGAAACAGGCCTTCCTATCCAACAGTGTTGGGGTGTGGCAGTAACAAGAGGAGGGAACGTGTGCAAGGGATCCGTGCTCGATGGGTCAACATGGTAAGGACCTTCCTCGGTGCAGATTCGTGCCACTATGCAAGAAAAAGAGCATATTACAAATGACCAGTCTCTTGCAGATTGTTCTGCCGGGCTGTTGTGGATTCCCGAACCGAAACAAGCGTGCCTCTGCCCCGACTTGGACACATCTCTTCTTCAGTTGGATGATACCGGGAAGTATTTTTTCAGACCCAGACCAAAGAAAGACACTTCAAAAAGCGTGCCAAAGTCACTGGAATTTATTGAGCTTTCAGCTAAGCTGCCGCCGCCTCTGCGCTCTCGGGACACTCTCGAAGCAGAGGCAGGGAAGACGCTCTGTTCATTGGTATAGAACGCATAGAAATTTAAGACTGTCGCAGGTCAAAGCAAAGGAAGGCAGGCGACACACACAACTCTACTGTGAAGGCTGCCACAACAGCTTCGTGCTTAAGGCCTCCGAGCCCAGAGAGGTTGCAGGACTACGATCCGGATGGGAGTGCCAGGCCAGAAGATAATCTGTTGCCTGATGCTTGGGATTGCTTGGGCCTTGGGCCTGGGCTGTGCCTGAAGGGCGGCATGGCTGCAAGCACGAGATCGGGAGCAAGATGGCAAGGCGGCTGAAAGCACACCGCGTTCTGCATCCCTCTGGACTTGCCATGGTTGCCAGGCTCTGGGACGACGCATCAAGTCAGTGCGGGGCCAAGCCACACTTTTGTGCTTTTGGAAAGAGACCTTCCCTTTCGATGGCTTCTAGCTGAAAGCAGCCAACGCGCGACATGGAAGCTGGCGGGCAGTGCGCAGGTCAACTGTGGAGTGGAACATGGGGCATGCAAACTCCACAAGCTCCTGAGACCATCATTCTTCCGAAGCTTTTGATTTGCTTCAGTTACACCAACTGCAACAGCAACCGCAATCGCAAAGGCATCGGCATCGGCAGCAGCAACAGCAACAGCAACAGCAACAGCAACAGCAACCATCAGCAGCAAACAAGTCGTCAGAATTGTAAGCAATTATCAGCGTTGTGACGTAGATATGCAGAGACAAGCCAAAAAGCACATGGACAACTTCTGCTAGGGTTTTAGGTTATAGGCCAATGGTTGGAGTAGTTGTATGGACAACATTGAAAACTACCAGTACTAGAGCTGTTACCTACCTGCTACGAAAGACGAACGTGACGCAGGACCAGAAACCCCACACCCCCCTTATTCACCGCAAGGTTTGCGATTGGAAGCATTGGGAAGGAACTATGATGTGAGAACCGACGTGAAACGACACACCGCATCCCGGTCGCGCTGTAAAGTCTGCGCAGTTTGCGAATTGTATCAAATTGTGCGAGAACAATTCTTGCTCAAGCCTGAAAAATCTGAAAACTGCTTGTCTTTGCTTGCCCGGGATTGAATACATTTAGGGAGGTTCCGTTGTGCTGTAAAGACGTGCAATTTCTGACAATACCCGCCTGTCGAGAGGTCAAAACTGAAGAGTCCGAAGGAAAACTGCGAGTGTAACAATGCTTCACGATTCCCGAAGCACTGCAAAGGTTGTGAATGGTCGGCATTCAAACAAAACAAGGAAAACGAACCACGATCCCCCGCTGCAGAATCCGTCCATTCAAGAACAAACATGGCACCAAAACTGCGGTAGTGGGGAGGAGTCGGTGCGATTCCCACATTGTTCACGGATGCGGAGATAGAAGGCGTGGACGCCATAGACACGGCCAGGGCTTTGACTTCAGTGTCGGATGCCTCATTAGCGGCATTGTCACTATGATTTGGGTGCACCCACACTGCGAGTGCTCGGGTCTATCCGAGTCTATCCCCTCAGTGGCGCGTCTTGCTGTCTTGAGAGCCTTGCGCTTGCCCTCTCCGGTTCCTGCGAATGCAACCGCGATACGTGATCTCACCACAGTCGAGGCCGCGCAGCTTGGGATGATGTGGAAAGTAACACGCAGGTGCGGGTGGAGGTTGAAACGGGCAGCGTTGTGCCCTGCAGGGCCATGCCCTGCCCTGTTCGGGCAGGGCAGGGCCCCAAATTATAAGGGGTCCGAAGGCACATATAAATCAATACAAATATCAATTTTCGGCAGCATGTTTTTCGATATGTTGATTTGCCATAATTTCAATACAATACTGATAGGATTTCAGGCACATAGCAGATTGATTTTGCGCTTCTTCCCAACGCGGCAACAGCCTTTGCCACTTAATTTCCAAAAGAAAAGATATGGTACTCCTTTCAGGATCTACCGGTCCCGGCAACCGATCCTCACCCAGAAGCCTGTCAGATCGATGCTCTTTTGACCATGCAAGATTTCTACAACGATCTCCGTCGTCTTAAACCCCGAACTTCCCGGCCCCTAACGACATCCCTGACCCCAGTGAAATTTATAAGCACGCCCCTTTTATCTTGAAATTGGGTTTCCTTGATCACTAGTCAATGTTTACTCCTGCGCCTCCAGCCCAGACTCTTGGCTCTTCTCTGAGGTTGTTATGCTCGTCAACAACCACAAAAAGATACTCGCCCTCCAATTATAGGCCTATCTTCCTCACTACCGTCTCTTACAAGATTTTCGCATCTATGCTCCAGTCCCGCCTTCGCGATAACCAATACGGCCTCCGTAACAATAGATCTACCACCCAACCTATTCATGTTGCGCGGCGCCTACTTGAAGTCCTTGAGTGCCAAAATACACCCTTCCACGCCCTTTTTTGAGATTGGTCTAGAGCATTTTGACTCTGTTACCTTTACTGCCATTAACTCAGCTGTGGGAACACATGGGCATTCCTCCCCATACCCCTTCAATCATCATGGCGCTTTATCGAAACCCAACCTTTATCGTCCGCGACTCTTCTCACCGCTCTAGTGTTTGAATTGAAGACAAAGGCCTACGTTAAGGCTGTCCCTTTTCTCCTTACTTATGCGCTTAGTCCTCACCCATTTCTTCTGTGATGTTGAACAAAGCTATCAACAACAGTATGGTGAAAAATCAGGGGTGTTTCAAGTGCCTTCTCCTCTGTGGGACCCTGAGTATACCGACGACGCTATTCTGCTTTTTTTTTCCATTTGGTGCAACACCATGGCCACTCCCGAGGACCCACCGTAAACCAGGATGAGTGTGAGCATCTGCGCATTCAGTCTACACAACGCATTTACTACTCCGCCAGGTTTTGATCTCACCCGTGTCCGGTTACCCGACGAGGCCAAGTACCTCGGTGCATACCTTGCTTCCTTGCCCTCCAATAGAAAACTGGAGCTATCGTGTCTCATGGGCGGTTACCGCTTCGAGAATGTTACGTCAGCTTTTGTCTCATTCACTCCTTCTTCTTTCATGGAAGCGTACGGTGTATCGCTCAATAATCTTATCGATCCTGACATACGCCATGGACGGCGCGCTCCTTTCCCCAGCACAACTCACTAAACTCAATAGCGTGCACTTTAAGTCTCTGCGTAGGATCTCCAAGTTTTTCATAGGGTTTTGGAACCCTCTGCTGATGGCGGACTTGACATTCTCCACTAGGAAAATACCGACTCCTTCACAACTACATTCACAACAAAGATTGCAACTGCTAGGTCCTAGGTCACTTATACAGACACTCAGAATTTCTTGACTGCAAAGCCACCTTGATGACCTCCCATGCGTATAGGCATGTCACTTCTCCAAATAGAGCTGGTCGACCCCGACCCCATTGGGCAGAGTCCTTCCCTGGCAGAAGCAGCCAACCGTATCGATTACATTTTGCCAGATCAACTTCCATCTCACGCGGGCATACCTACGGTCTCGCTGATACAGCAAGCCCAGAGTAGCTCCTTAGTCCGGATGCACAACATGCCGTTTTTCCGTAAGGCGCAACCATTTTGTTAGAACAGAGTTCGATGGTGAACCCTTACTTATTCATAAACACCGCCTTCAACGGCATGCGCAGTAACATCCCTTACAGTAGCTGGTTCTGGAAGCAATCGGCGCTGACGGGCAACCGAGACTAGCCCTGCGTGTGCGAAAGAACGGTGGAGGTGCTGATTCCCCTCACAATAGGGCGAAAGGGACAGACCGTGGGACCTCGCCGACAACTCCTCCAGCACCCCACAAAGGGGCCGGTCGATTGGCTTCACATGGCGCCCCATGCCGCACCCACTCGATGGCTTCCAGGGTCAAGACCAGGACTGCCGAGCAACCCACAGCCTCCGAGTCAGTTTTGGTGTGGGACTCGACGCCGACACCGTGATGGTGTAAAGCGAGAGGCACGCTGCGGATGCACCTAAGAGGTGCCATTGCCCGGGCCGCACGGGCCGAAAAGGAAGCGTCTCCCCCTAGGACCCGTCAGCTTCAAGCTGTTGGTAGGGTTCTGAAGGCCGAGTTATGATCGCGAAGGGCTCAAAGGGACACTGCAGTGGAATGGGGTGAAGGCGGGGCTTGTTGGCAAGTGCCACAAGCTCTTCTCAAAGTGCTTCCCCGCCTGAACACAGAATTGCGGGGGGAACAGTAAAAGGGATAAGGCCGACTTCTCTTAAGCAGCTAGGGACGCGGTAAGCCAGGTTGGCACGTCGTAGCGCCCCGAACTCCTCAGTGGAGTTGACGCCGAAGGGCCAAGTTTCCCGGGTGGCTCGGGCGAGCTATCTGAGGGACGACGGAGGGCAGATAGCCCCTCCTCCTGCTGCCCGGTCCAAGGTCGTGAACGTGTGGAATACCAGGTGATCTGGGGGCCCGGGCTGCCAGAGAGGAGTACGAGGACATTGATTGATATTTGCCCGCGGCGGCTCGACGAAGGCCGAGGGACAACCGCCAAGAGGAAAGGAGCTGTCCGAGTGCGTGCCATGGGGTGGTCTGGGTGGGGATGCGTGAAGCAAAGATTGTTAGTAAGTTGATCACCGTAAGGGTCCCAAGTCGCCAATCGCCCACGTAACCATAGCGGTCATGGCGAACAGCGAAGTGAAGAATTTTTGCAGCGAAGCTGGGCCTGAAGCGGTCGCGCTGGTCCTGCCATCGCAAGTGAAAGCAAGGCACCCCAATTGAAGCACCTTTCGCAAAGATTTCGGGAACGACTCGCGGCTGTTAACATGACCTTTGCTACCTGCACACGTGGTGATTGTCACTGACCCTGCATGCATATGACTATATGACCAGTCTGGTCTCATTTCGGAAGCTGACAAATCTTACTTGCAGTGGTCCGAGGTTTCAGCCTTGGGAACGTCCGTACAGCTCCCGCTCGTTTCTTTCTGACATATGGATAGCACTTCAAGTATGATTTTATTGGCGAGACTATGACACTCCCATCAGCAGGAAACCCCAAAAGCAGATTCAGCAAGATGCGGTGCTTCTGTGCAGCAGGCCGATTTACCAAAAGGTAAACACGGCCGTACCTTTCCGTTAGTCAGAAACACAGCTTCAGGCTCACCGGAACTGATTCGGAAGTTGCTGTGCAAAAGCGCGCCACATGTGCTTATCGCCAGTCGCAACAGCATCCCGTAATACAGTGGTTTTGATTGAAGTCGTTGATGCTGCATGGCTCAGCGTTTCACATCCGATAGTCGAGAAATTTTCAATACAGGTTTGAATGGCGGGCCTCGTCATTGTCGCGGCGTCAATCCATACGTATGGTAATGTAGTAGCTATTGCAGTATCTAAGTGCTCCGATTGAGCTATGACAAATCTAAGCGAATGCGGCTGCGCCGAATGTGCCCTTGCAAAGCAAGCCACTTCCAGCGTCGCCCAGACCGCACCGCGCCGCCCTTGCTTTGCAGTGGCCTCGGGTAAGGGTACTGCTATGCAGTTAGGACTCGGGTCTTTTGTGCCCGTGATCCAAGGACCAAGGTCTGCATGCCACCAGGGACAGGTGGGCCAACTCGAACGTTTGCAGCCGTTCACGTTCACATGAAAAGGCTTGACACAGCGTGCAGCACATCAAGACGATGGCAAGCCAGAGAAGGCAGTGTTGCAGTTTAATGATGTTTCATTTAATGAGTAGAAAACCTATTGCAGGCAGTAATCTGATATGCTTTTGTGGCTTGCGCCTACAATTTCCTTCGTTTCCGCCCACAATATGCTTTGCTTCTGGCCCAGGATTCTACAATAGTGAATCTGGTCTGCTCGCACCTCCAAGGTTGCCAGGTGGGGAAAGATTGCTTTGTTGCCATGTTGTTTCGAAAGCGTGAATATGATGATTCTGATGAGATGATGATCGTCTCCCAGGTTGATTAATTAAGTTGTCGTGAGGATGCCTGGCATGTGGTCGCATGACACAAGTGTTCTCGAGGTTGATTGGCCCTTGGGATCCCTTGGGTTTTCGTGAAGTTGCTTCTGAATCGTCTAATGCACGGGGCAGGGCTAGCGCCATTAGCGCCTAGACGCCGCGCGTCGCCAAATGACACTGCGCGTGCGGTGCCGTGACGATTTTTCATCGGATTTGGCAACATGTGGCAACCATCTCGGTTCGTGTGAAATGGCGCTGCGCTTGTGCCGTGACGGTTCGTCTGGCCCTCTCGCTGGATCGTCCGTGTCCGCTGGTCAGCTCGATCCATTGTCAATTCCACTACATTGGCCCAGGCACTGCGCATGTGGCGCCGTGCTGCTTTTGGTCTCGAACGACTCGAAACGTCTGAATCAATTGGGATCGTGTCTCTGAATTCAGCGGGGAGACATGTTCTGTGTGTTCCTGAATCTCATCATCCAGCCAGTACATCATGGGGGGAAGCATTGACGCGAAATCGCGCTGCGCGTGGGTGCCGTGACAGTTTGGTGGCGTGGTCATGTGTCTTCGCCAGTAAAAGGTCGCACCAGATCGCCCTGCACGTGTGGTGCCGCGACGATTCGTCTTCGAATTTGACAACCCCGGTGGATGTGGCGTGTCTGAGTCCGCGGGCAACATGGGCCGCAAGCTGGCCTCGAAATGACTAGCCTGTGATGGCAAGCGGCTCGGAAGCTGTGCTTCTGGTACCCATTGATGTTGGGTATTTGACATCGGAACGCGTGAACTGCAGCCGGTTTTGTCGTGTCTCTTGACTTAGGTACTTTTGTGAAGCAGTTTTGTCATGTCGTTGCATCACGCAGATGTAGAGGGGTTGTAGAGGGTTTTATCAGGGCTATAGAAGGGTTTGTAGAGGGGTTTTAGTGGTTTCTAGAGGGTTTACAGAAGGTTTATAGCAGGGTTGATAGAAGGCCTTGCTTTCGAAGAGGGGCTTGATGGAGTGGTTGTAAGGGTTTGTCCAAGTCTTTCCATGTATGATGACTGGCTGATAGCCGGCTGGCTGGGTGGCTGGACGGACGGACGGACGTACGAATGAATGATTTCATGCATGCATGCATGGATGGATGCATGAGATGATGTTTCACGTACCCTGCTGCTCTAAACGCTTTCGGGGCGCTCACTCTCTAGCCTTTTGCATCGCTTGTTCGTCTCGTTGCAGAGGAGCTGAATACAGAGCGGAACAGGCTCCGGCTGCTGGAGATGTCTTGGGTCTTAGTTAAGTCTTTTCTGGCAATGTTGGAGGTTGCTTTCGCCCTTTGAGATCTTCTTCTCGCAGAACCACATCCGCCCGGAGTTTCAGGCCTCGGCCTCGAGGACCGTAGCCTGCGCAGGAGCCTGGGCTTTCCGAGGACGGCCGTTCCATCGACGCCGCTGTCGGATGCATAGGCGGGGGATGGCAGGGCCTGGGAGGGCCTGGGAGGGCCTGGCAGGCTTGAACGTCCGGTACTTGCAGGCCTAGACATGCTTCGACTGCAGAGCAGTGTCGAGACGGAAGACGAGAGCACACGAGAGCCGAGCTGGCATCAGTGTGATGCTTCCCAAGGCTGACGGCTTGAAACCGACTCGACCCCTTTGGAATGCGAGTGTGAGGGGTTTGATTCAGGACAATCCAAGAAAGGCAAGATGGAACTGCGAGACGCGCGTTTTGCCGCAATCACGCGCGTTTTCGTCGGGCTGTGAAGCCGGTTGTTTGCTCCACCGAACGAGTCTACCGGAAGTTATGGCCAGTTCCTATTTACAAAGGCTATGGTCTGGCCCAGGTCTGTGAAACTGAAGTGCTGGCGTCGCCGTTCGGCGACTTGTAAAGCAGACGCTAAGATCCGCCAGTCAAGGATGAGCCCTTTGCAGAACTCGGGCATGCATCCAGCATGTACTGGTGTCAGAGAGCAGAACCGATTTGAATCATGCTGATATCGAGTTGGCATTATGGCTCTGGCACGGCCTTGAGTGAAAGATCTGGATACCGCAGGTTTGACGGATTTCGACGGCATGCCGTAATTTGTGGTTATGTGAATTATGTGTATTAGTGAACTTTCTGCCTTCGACTGCTGCTAGACTGAAGCTGTCCACATGTCATGTGTCCATCTGAGACTGGCTGAGCTGACAGGATCTCGCCGCTTTGATCCACGTGATGGTTTCGAGGACAGACATTCTGCATCTGTGGAAAGCACGCAGACTCAGATCCGGCGAGGATCTCGGATGTCCCCAAAAGTCCTCATGGTGGTAAGACTGGCTGATTTGAACTCATTTGTGACATGTCCACTGCCGGGTGGTGCGTTGAGGGGGTGACCCTTCCCCTCTCCTGCGCTCACCATCGCTCGGCTATAGACGAATGCTGACATCGGTGGGGAAACCACTCGGCTGGTGTGCAGCTCGAGATATCTAGAAATCAGGACCAACATGGCCTCGTGTTGTCAAACAAGCTGCTGCGAAGTTCATGTCTGTTGCAGTTTGCGAGCAGCCATTTCTACCTAGCCATTTGGGATGGGATGCCAAATCAGTTTGCTGGTTGGTCCGTCTGAATGCTCGGGTCCACTGCCCACGCAGATCAGGCCGCTTTTGACACGAGATCAATCATTTTGTCGCGCCAGGCTGCTATCACAACCTTTTCCGATGATAGAAGTCATTCAGTGGAGGATAAAGCTTCGGGAGGCAGGACTCACGCCGGCATGCTCATGACTTTTGCTAAAGCTGAGAGGAAGATGGATGTCAAGTGGTTGACGATGATGGCAACGAGCTTTACGGCGAGAGAGAATGGTTCGGGCCTGTGCGAGAAGCAGACAGCGGCTGCGAAATTGAGAGTCTAAAAAGGTACACCTTGGACAACCGACGATTGTACTGCTTGCAGAGGGCTGCAGTGGCCCTCTATCCAAAGCAGGCCCTGGCCTATCTCTACTGCAGTTGCGGGAGTGCCATTGAAGAATTCCTCTCCAAGAGACTTCGGCGGCCTGCAGCGCAGGTCAGAGTGCTGGTCAGCGTCGTTCATCAGGAAGAAGGGAGCTGTCGCGAGGCTGTCATGGAATGTCATGAAGACTTGAGCATTCCTGGAATAATTGCTGGCCGTTCCAGTTCCGCAAATTTCGCTCCGTTGATCGCGGCCGCAGCATCCGCCTTGGCCATCGGGACAAGTATGTGGTGCCTGCAAGATACGAGGGACGAGGTTTGCATGTCATGTCGACATGGTGCTTCGCAGGACTCGCCTGATCTTCCCCGTTGGTGCTGGCGGCTGGAGGTCGAAGAGGGCTGTGCACATCAGCGACTCGGGAGCACGTGCATCCCTGTTTCCAGGTTGGGCTTGCGGAGGAAGTCCTGCCCGCCGGGTCTGCTTTGCCGAGGCCACTTCTTCCGCTTCCCAGTTCATTGTCGGATGACTCGAAGAGACGCTGGCATACCACAACCAACGCCAGCGCTGTGAACAGCAAAGGGCACAGACGTTTCCAGCGGTTTCGAAGACATGAGCATTAGGCCGGGCAGGCGCCGCGATGGAAGAGGCGACTCTTCAGCATCGGGTCCGCTCAGAGAGATCTGTCGCTCTCTCCGGGTAGGATCGGCTGGGCGGCCGGCTAGGCGGAAGAACGACAGGCGCCGGCGCTGGCGGCAGCGAAAGCACAAGCACGCCGGGTGTCGAGAGCAAAGTCTGCACTGCTGCTCTTGGAAGGGATCCTGTCGACAGCGGCGAAGACCAAGCCTGGGGCAGCCATTTAGCAAATGCCTCTCTTTTTGTGCCCCGCGCTAGGTTGAAGCTACAGTAGGAAGTACATGGAAGGACAACTATTCTGAGTCATCTTTGGCTGCCAGGTACTGGTCTATGCCACCATGCGTCTGTTGTTTGCCCTGTGGCGTCACTATTCGTCAGATGAGCGAAGGTGCCGCTTCGCTGGTTGCAATCGTTTGGGAACACATTACGAGATTGCCTGTCCAGATCTTCAAGCCGTGCTCAGGCAGTCTGTGACCTCTTTGTGATGCCTTGCCGAGCCAGCGTGCGAAGAGCAAAACAAAAAGTTGCCTCGGTTGGAGAAAATGATGTTGTCTCTGTGTGCTCGACTACACACGAAAACAAAGATCCCGAAAGCATACCTTACCACAAGCGCCCACGGATTCGTCTTGCTGCTTCGACATCTCTTCCTTTTCCAGAAATGGGTTTCGTGCAGCCCTTGCACACCCCAACTGCGGTTTCCTGAAGTCTGCTGAGGCCACTTGCGTGAACATGTGCGCATGTCAGCCATGAGTGCAGTTTAGGGGCACTCCACGTTTTTGGCGGCCGGCCTCCTCTCGTGTTCTGTACGTGTGCTGGCCACCGGTCTCGAAAACAGACCAAATCGATGCAGTTTCAACTTGTCCTTGTCATGTGCTGAGCTCATTGCGCACTATGTGCAGCGAGCATGCTTTGCCAAATGCAGCCTGTTGCATTCGCCCGCTCCACTGCTCCACAACGGATTTTAGAGACCTACCTGCCGCAGCCTGCCGAGTTTTTGTGCCAAAAGTTGTTTTTTGTCTTTGGTGTGGGCAGTGCGAGCATGTCTCTTCAGCGCAGCTGCACTGCTGGGAGACTTCGATCTTCACCGGCGCAGCTGCACTCTCCCTGCACATCCGTGGCCTGGGAGACATACGAACGCCAGCACAACAAACAGAAGATCGCCGGCGCCTCGCTGTTGAATATTGGTAGTGCGGTTGTCCGGAAAACAAATTTGGGTGCAGAGGTGATGGGCTGACCGAAGAGATTCTCTCTGCGAGTCCAATGTGTTCAAAGGATGACCAGCAAAGACATGAGGTCCTGCGCACCCACTCTACAAAAACAGGGCTGTGCCTCTTCTTTGCCTTCCTCTTGAATGCACCACCGGCCAGTCCCAGTCACCTTGTTGCAAAGAAGGGACTCTTCTCATCATGCTGTGTCTGCAGGAAAGGGGGATAGAGGGGGCTCGTGCCCCAACAACACTGTTCTGGTTCATCACCGTCAATGTACACCGTAGCCACCAATTTTGAGGATGCTACTTTTGCTTGCTGCCATGCAGTCACGCGTGTCTTGCCTCGACAGCTGCCTTTGCGTGGTACATGTCCTGACTGCATGCAGCGCTGCGATCGACCATCTGTTCCGGCCGGAACATTTGGGAATCTATCAGCAGCTCTGAACCGCCGCCAACTGCCCCGAACATCCCCCCACCCAACAACCGTTGGTGCGGGACTGCATTCCTGTCGTGTGCTGCCTGCGCGGGCCAGTGCTGGAGTTGGTTGAATGTCCAACCGGACATAAAACACTTCGCGTGCGGCATGGTGAGCTTTTGGGGTATGTTTTCGGCAGTGACGCTTGAGATTTTTGATCCGGCTGGCATCGCATATGGACGACTTCCAGCCAGCACCGGTTTGTTCGCTTCAGCTACGTGCCTGGCCCGTTGTAGACCCTGCCAAGGCGCCCTTACAGACAAGACATCCGAATTTTTGGAAACGGGCTATAAACCTGCTTCTCGGCCTGGGCGAATGCCGGCCGACTCATTGAGGCCCAGGCGGGCATGGAACCACAGACAGAAGCCACCAAGAAAAGGATGCCGACAGATAAACAAGGGAAGCTTCGTTCATGATCGTTCGTCTTCGTCTTGCAATGCCGGAGTGCTGGCTGCGGAGCGCGCGAAGCCATTTCGCGACCTTCGGCTGGAGGGATGCGGTGGGAACGGCTGCCGGCGACAAGTAAGCCGACTCATGTGCGCATGGGTCGCAGTGGCGACCTGGGGCTTGTCCAGTCTCGAGGCAGCGCCTGCAGCAGCAATTGATGAGGCAGCGCCTGAGCGGACGCCGAAGTGTCGGAAGCGAGCAGGCTCAGCCGAGTCTCCAGTCCGGCGGTCGCCAAGGTTCCTCGCAAAGGCAGGTCACCAAGCCAATTGGGCCCTGTAACCCATGACCGGGAATCCCTGCCCCTAGCCTAATTGTGGCACTGGGGCGACAGTGCCGTTACGTATCGGACGTATCCGTGGGTCGACATCGTGTCTTTGGGTGATATGCCATTTTTCGTTTCGATCACGACGCCGACGATGATGACGACGACTTTTCTACTGCTACTACTGGGTGCGGCATGTATGAGATGAATGAAATGCTGGTTGCACGGTGTTACGGTCGTGCGGCGTCCAATGTATATGCCAGCTTTTCCACACCTACAACATGCATCGAAAGCTCGTTTCGACATGTTGGACACCATCATACACCATCCATGGGGTCACGGGCATGAGGGCGTCCAATGTATATGTGAAGTATTCCGCGCTTACCACAAGCGTTGGCAGCTCGCTTGATTGCCGCTTTTGCCACCGGCTTTCTTCCAGGGATGTTGGCCACTGCACTGTGTCATGTAGTTTTGGCAGACAGACAGAGAGAGCATATGAGCGAGAGATAAGAGAGTTATGCAAGGCATGATACCAGTACAAGCCACACAATCATGTCCCCAAATGCGGTTGTTAGGGTATTCCCCCCCAAATATAACTCACTCGGCGTCACTGGATGGGTGCAGCGCCTACGACAGCATCTCACGCACCTCATTTCTGACGGCGCTCAAGTCCGTGGCCGACCTCCTTCCTTCTGTGAGGCTTTTCTATGGCCGTCCTTCCACGTACTGCTCGTGGGACGAGTCGGGCCAAGGAGCAGGGTGCGAACAAGGCGACCCGCTGGCTCCGGCGCGTTTCGCCCTTGGCCAGCAAACAGCTTTATGCCAAGCTTCGTCAGCACTCCATTCTTCCGGGCGACTCCTCGCGTTCCTCGGTGACCTGTACGTCCTGAGCGTGCACGTGAAGCTTACGACACCGTGGTGCAGCGTTGCAGGAAGGATGCGGCATGGCATAGCTTCCGATGACAGCAAGACTCGGGTGTACAGTTATGAGTCATGCCAGAGGAGAGCCCCCGCCGAGCTGGCGCGGAGGTCTGGCGGGGAAACAAGCCATCCTCCCAACTCGGCATGGAGGGTTTGGGCACTCCCATTCGCCACCGACATTTCATCGCATCATGGGCGGAAGGCCGGATGTGCAGTTCTTGAGCCAATTGCCTCACTTCCCTGACTTGCAACGTGCGTGGCCCCTCCTTGCTCAGTGTTTCTCGCCGCGCGCTCCGCACGGTGCCGCCGCTGGACGTAGCCGGCCGCGCCCAAGCCCATGACGACGCCGCCTGGGAGACCTTGCAGGCCTGCCGGGCGAGGCGGACGGCGCACAGAAACTGGCTATCCCAGCGTCGCTTGGCGGCGAAGGCCTATAGCCAGCGCTGTCTGTACCGTGCCCGCTGCGCATTGGACAGGGGGTGCCTCGATTGGCCGCACGGCTGGCAGCACAGTGCGGCGTGAACTCGCGACCGTCACTTCGCGAGCGCACGTTGCTAATTACCCACCTTGCCGCCCAGCCTGCGCTCTTGCGTTCTCAATGCTGGCCCGCACGCAAGTGCTGGGCCAGCAGCTATGCCAGCGGGGTCCGCCAACACACTGCCCTTGCAGGCCATGCAGTTGGCTCGGCGAGAAAATCGTCGAACGGGCATGGGTGAGGGTCGTGTTGGGGCTGAGGCCAGTCAGTCATGCAGTCCCACAGCAATATAGCTCTCCCACACCACTGCCCTTGGTGTCGCCCGGGCGACAGGCACCGCCTTGACTTGGTGATGTATGGAGCTACCTCTATTGGGAGGGCGCTGTGCTGCGATGCGACCCTTGTCTCGCCGCTGACCCGAACGGGTCGCAAATCGGGCCCGCAAATTTTCCCTAAACCTTAAACCTGTAGCGTATTACCATGTCTTTTGCTGCAGGAGGTTGTTGTTTGTGTTGAGTCAGGGCTTAGGAAAGTTTAGGGTGCAGGGCCTCATTGAAGGATGGAAACATTCATTACGGTTCGAATCTTCCGCATCAGTTGCCATCATGTTTAAAAATGTTCTAAAAGGGCGACCCTGCCGATGCCAACAATTACCGCCCCATTGTCTCCAGAGCATCGCTTACAAGCCATTCGCATCGCTGTTAAAAGAACGTTTTCTGGATGCTGGTGTTGACGGCGGATTGTGGAAGTCTCAGATCGGTTTTCGGAAGCGTCACTGTACCGAAGATGCAATATTCGTGGTTTCGCGGAAGATTGAGAAGGCTTGTGCGCAGCGGAAGGGTCAGGCTGGAAAAAACTTTCGACAGCATAAACATCGACAGCCTCCTCGATACGTTCCGCCGTTTTGGTATTCCAGGTTTGTGCCGGGATATGATCTCGGCAATGATGCTTCACCGAAATTTTTACGTGGTTGACCAGGGAACCACCTCTTTTCCAGAGTCGCCGATGCTGGCGAATTAAACGGTATGGAACTTCATCAGGACAATTTTCAATTGCCTTCAGTTCAATGCAGAGCTCGCATTCGCACACCGAGTGGGGACTTAATTGATTTGCAATAGTTTTTGGAAGCACTCTTCCATTCCTCTTCACCGGAAGGTTCATACTTTGATGTATGGTCTGAGTTGCGTATGTCTCTTCGCAGCCGATCGGAGATTTACGCCGTATCATTGGCATTCCACCCTGTTTTATTTCCCGTGTTCCAAACACGGCTGTTCTACATCGGGTAGGTTGCAGTGCCGCGTCCGACATGCTCGAAGTCAAGTCAAGTCAAGTCAAGTCAAACCTGCATGCCCGGAGGCTGCCCCTTGAGGGCTCAGGAAATCAACTACACGGCTTGTTGCTGTACACAACCATAGGTCACATATGTTCTGTGCTAAAGAATGTAAATGTACAGGTATGTGCCTCTCACAACCGGCAGAACGCATCAAAATTAGAGAAATCGTCTCGCCATGAAGATCGTGCAGCTTCTTCGGTCCAATGGCCTCGAGCTTGCCATCTGCCAAAAGCGACCAGCATATCATCCCACATCATTTTCGCACGACTTGGTTTTGCGCGGCTGTGGAGGTCCCATTGCAAAACACGTTTGACCCGTCGATGGCTTGGTAGCAGCGCAATGTACGAGGCAAGTCGCCAGCACAG